TGACTATGCCAATATTGATATACCCCGAGGAGTGTATCCCGAGGACTCAATCTATACCCCACCTCATTTCTCTTCTTCGGTCCTCGAGGTCATCTAAGTCCTCGATATATTGTAGTCCTCGAGATACCTCGAGGACACTTTTACATTCCGTCAATGTCCTCGAGAATAGTCCTCGAGACATACACCACCAACATACCTCCTAAGACCTGGGTACCTAACTAACAAACCTAAACACCCAAGGATTCTACATCAACCCTAACACCACTTGTCAAACAATTCCATTACAAGTAGGACATTCTTTATAATAGAAATTCCCTTGGATAAAAACATCCAACCAACACAATCCTACTAGGAGTACACTACCTACTCCTATAAAAGCAGAACCTTGGGCCATTATTCAGGTACGTTTTACATTGTTCTTCAGCACATAGCCTCACGCATATATTTCCCTTTCCGACTTAAGCATCGGAGGGGCGACGAGAACACACCTCGTTGCCTTTGTTTCAGGTATCGGAAGATCACGTTCGTGCTCCTCACCAGTCATCAAGCTCGGAAAATCAGCAAGTACGATTTTTGGTAGCATCAGTTTGTATGTTACAGTTCTTTGTTCATCATTTATTGCTTCAGTCCTCAGCGTCACCGTCTGCGTGATCCCTCCTGTCACATCGAAACAAAACCTATTCGTTGGGTATCGTTCATTCTAAAAGTTCGATTTGTCAGATAGTGAACATTCGTTTATATCTATTTAAATTATGTCTTTCACGATTTTCCCTTATGAATATCGACAAATATTTATTCTTACCAGCCACAAAATTGTACAACAAGACTGCACCAACAGATCCCTCCTGTCCTTCGATTACTTGAGCACTTTTGAAACCTGCAGGGAATATATTGACAAGATCACTCATTCTGTTTTTAAAGAAACCATAGAACTTGTCAGCTGAAGATTGTATTTCAGCGGTTGCTTCAAGCTTTTGAGACATGGTATCAATTATAAAATAAAAACCCTAGTTATATCAAGAATGCACGTCGAATTGAATTGAAGCTAAGTCCTGTGGATATTTATAGTGTGGATTTGTTGTTTTCCAACAAATTAATTTTGTAAAATTATAATGAAAGATGGGTCGGCTGATGTAATTTTACCCCCAAATCTTTATATGGGCCTTGTTAAAGATTTCACGAGATCATTAATTAATTTTGACTTCCAAATTTGGTGAATTAAAATCATACTATTTAACCCCAGGACCGTGCTACATAGTCATAGAGGATGACACTTCGATTGACATAGCACACACACATGGAGGAGATCGGGATTATTTTATTCATGGGGACCCACACCTCGTTTGTGAGTGCTATGTCACCCATCGTGTCAAAGCCTATGTTCGTTTGGCTTAATTCTTAGCCCCAAATGGTATAAAATATTTATTCAGCAAAAAACAAAAATAGAAATATACAAAATATATACTGTTCTCCCAATTTTTTGTGCTAAAAAAATCTGAAGACGCCACTTTCAAGTTTCCAAAATACATTTTAACACTACGTGTAGCTCGTCTCTTTGACATGTAAACCATCGAGAAAATGTAAAGACACAAAATATTAATAATATTTTTCAATATTTTCTAGTATATAAATGTCTTTTTAACAAAGTCAATGCAGGACAATTATTATTAATTCAATATTCTAGACTAATGAAATTAGTTCCATTCAGAGTTCAAAAAGATATTAACATGATAATATCAGCAGCTAAATGGATGAAAAAAATGCTGAAATAGAAAAATTATTTTATTATTCTATAGAACAGCAATATAATCTTAATTATTTGTAATATATTATAACTTATAGTTAATGCCTTTTAATTTCTTGGAAACACGTGAAGCATGAATTCCTTTACAATTAGGAGCATTTAATTTAATAAATATTGTTGGCAACATATATGGTTGAATGACAATATAGATAAATTAGAATATTGGATATTTTGAGTGACAAATTGGTAATACTTGATGCATTCATTTTTTTCTTAATTTGAGTTAATACTTATCATTAGGTAACATAAACAAATGATATTAAAAGATACTTCACTCTAGCTGGACGTGGGTTTGGTACCCAACATGGTCGATTTCATTGATTATTAGTTTAAATCTAACCTAACCCTCGAACCATTCAAGTTTAGGTTGGTTGGCTTGGACTTGGGTCCAATTCATGTTGGATTCGATTTTTTTTGTTGAATTTGAATAATTTTTAAAACTTGAAACTACTTGAAAATTTCCTTTATTTTTAACCTATATAAAGAATTATTTTTTTGAAAACTAAATAGGTTTGAAACTATGTAGCATTTTCTTCTTATATACGTATTTTTTGGATTTATTCATTTTATTATCAAATCCTTAGTTTTTAGTTTATCGTCAAATAATTTATATTTGCACATAGTATTCGTACCAATCAACCTATGTAAAAATTGGGAAGTTGTATATTCTAAATCCTTCTCTTGTCTCCACTATTAAGTCTATTTAGATTTTTTCATTTTAGGTATTATATTTTTCAATTAGTCGGATTGGGTTGAATTCGATTTTTAATTCATAATTTGAGACCCAATTCAACTCGACCTCAATATGCCGACATCACCATCCACGCCACTCGATTGCAGCCGAGAGACATGGTGCTTACTCTAATACCATTGATATAGATTTTAAAAGTCATACTTAAAACTAGTTATTGAAGTTGAAGAGCCCAAACATATATAAACTACACACCGGAAGCCATACTTTTGATGTGTGATTCAAGTCTCGTACCTTGCAATGTTATGAGAGTAACAACCGAGACTAGAAAACAAACCAGTTGAATTTAAACGTAAAACAGTGAATGATCAACAAAAGGGAGAGAAACAATTGGAATACCAATCCCTTAGTCTCCATGAATGCAAAATCTAGTATACAATTTCTTCCATAAATTTAATGCTGTTCATTACCATATATAAGCAATTAAATAGCAATCAAACAAAAATTTCAATCACGGCTTTTCTTGAATCCCTCGGTTACTTTTCCCGCCGGGGTGCTTTATCCTCTGAAGGTCGCTGCCCCTCCGATCTGCTCTTCCTTGCTGGTGGTGACTTTTGTTGAGTTTAAAGACCAAACGAATAGATTTTATTAACAAAAATATTTTACAATTTTGGACACAAATTAATCTCTCTTAATGCACTCACCCTTATTTCATCACTCCAATAACTCTACTCAATTCTTTGCACTTTCTCACTCTCTCTCTCTCTCCCCTCATTTTTTCTTCCTGCTTCTCAATTCAAACTCACTCACCATACATATATAGCAACGCATATATATAGGCATAGGATTTAGTGTAAGTGTCGCCTTCCTTTGTCCGGAGAATTCTAGCATGTGGTGGAGGCAAAATTATCCAATAATATTTTAGATCCTTCTCTAATGCCAACAACTATGGAAAAATCTGGAAACCAGTGATGATTCTTCAATTCTCCCCTTTAGCACCGACTTTTCATTTTGACTCTTTTTTTTCGTTACGTCCGATTTTGCCTCTACGAATTTTGAAGTGTTCAATTTTTTATTCAACACATATGCTACTTTAAATATATTTAGTTCTTCCATACTTTCTTCTTCATCAATTTTTAGATTGATACTTGATTTTTCATGTCTACACAACATTAGTGATTGTGAGTTTGCATTGTTGGAAAAAATGGATTGAGTGGTTAATTTTGGCATAAAATTTGAGTGGAACCCAATTGGTTATTTTGGAAGTTTAAGATTGATCCGTGTTCTCATGGTTCTCCTCCATGAGAACATCAAAATCATGTATTTAGTTGCAAAAAATAATGTTCGAAATTGGGGCTCAAAGTGTGTTAATTGAAAGGGGTTTATGTGTCGGAGGGAAACCATTTCAGGTTTGTCCTATATAAGAAAATTATGAAAGCAAATACCACATTAAATAGGATTCCACTTTGGAAAGGTATGATCATGTGTAACATAGAAGCCCTCTCTACGTGCGCGCGGAAGGGGGGCAAATTGAACCAATATAAATTTCGGACGTGGAAATTGACCCTTTAGAAGAGCTTACATTTTGCTAATTTTTTTCTCCAACTGACCGTTTAAATTCCAAAATTGTTGAAACTCCTATATTCATTGTCATTATAATACGAGTTAATGACATTCATGGGGTTAAGCCTATATAAGTAACCCGATTTCTAACAATTCTACACAAGAGAAAAATAATATAGCATACAGTTTCTGCATAATTTTTGGTTTGCATACTGCATAGTCACACAGTCCCCTATCTATCCGAAAGTATTTTAGTGATATTGTTCAGACATAAGTTCTGTTCAGCAGAGTAATATCTGAGGTTCTCAAATTTTACTGTTCCTCCATTGTATCTTAGAGACAGACGTCCGAATCAAACCTCAAACACCTACGGTGAGGAGGCGAATCTATTTTAAGGAGTCTGTGTTCACACAGGCCTCGGTTCAAATTTATTTTGATTTCTTTTTTTTGCTGATTAGATTCACTCTTTCTATTTATTGGAATTTAATCTGCTCTATTTTGGCTAATTAGATTAATTTGTTCAATTTATTGCAATTTAATCTGCTATATTTTGAGTAGTATCCAAGTTTGCTGCATAAACAGTATGTGTCAATTTGGAAAGTTGCAAATTCGGTGTATGGTATTTGTTAATCCGGTATTCATTCACTAATATTTAGTCCAACAAACTAAAAATAAATTGAAAAAGAAAAAAAATTGGTTTCTTATATTGTTAATTTAGAAACTAATTTTCCATTTGTCTTTCAAAAATGGCAACCAAATCAATCAACATGGATGTGTCATAAACTATTGCCACTGGAAATCAGCCCGTGGGCTCTGCTGTGGCTCAAGTGCCCAGCTTTGTTGTGGTTTAGACTGTAGCTAAATTGTCAAGTCATATTGTGAGTAAATTTGTGGCTCCAACAACCAGCTATACAGTTACTGTTCTGATTAATCATAGAGAAAAAATTGGAGAAATTCAATAACTTGAATTTCAAGATGTGGTAGCAGAAAATGTTATTTTACCTGACCACCTTGGATCTTGCGAGATTCTTGAATGAAACTGCTCCAAAACTCAATAGGGTGAGGGAGATGTCCAAGCAATCAGTGAGGTCGATGCTTGAAAACATTTGAATTTTCTATGTCGAAACTACATTATGAAAAGTTTAGCAAACTCACTAGACAATTCGTATAATACTTTGAAAACTACTAAGGAGCTATGGAAGTTATTGGATTGAAAATATAAGACTGAGGATGCTAGGGCCAAAAAATTCATTGTTGGCCGATTCTTGGATTATAAGATGGTGGACTCCAAAACAATAACCAATCAAGTTCAAAAATTTCAAGTGATTCTTCATGAGATTCATATCGAATAGATGATTTTGAATGAAACCTTCAAAGTGACTGCAATTATTGAAAAACTGCCAGTTGCGTGGAAAGATTTCAATAATTGCCTTAAACACAAATGAAAGAAAATGAACATTGAAAAACTGATTGTTAGACTTCGAATTAAAAAAGACAACAGAAGTTCAGAAAAGAAGGGGTTCAATCCTATTGTAGCTAAAGCCAATATTATTGAGCACGGTCAAAGTTCTAAAATTTTAAAGAACAACATTAAGACATCTGGCGGCAAAGGTACTAAGCTGGGACCGAAAGGGAGTATTTCTAAGAAGAAATATCAAAGAAAATACTTCAATTATGGCAAAGTAGGCCTCAAGTCTTAGGAGTGTAGATTGCCAAAGAAGAATACATGGCACATAATGTGTTGGAAATAAATCTTACAGCAGTCATTTCTGAAATAAATATGGTGGTTTCTAACTCAAAACAGTAGTGGATTGACACCGGTGTTACACGGGGTGCGTGCTCTGATAAAGAGTTGCTTGCTGCATTCGAAGCAATTGAGAATGAAGAGAAGTTGTTCATGAAAAATTCAACAATTTCTGAAATCAAGTGTTCTGAAGTTGACATCGAGAAAGGAATTGACTATTAACA